CCCGAATTTCTCTCAAATCTCCATTCTCTCTCAAACCCACGAATGCCTTGATATCTTCTTTACCCTCTACTTTTTTGTTTCTTCTGTGATTGATGATTGTTGATGGATTTGAGTGATAGATAGACAACCCCTTCAGTGAAATAATGTCCCTCGATAGGTTATCATATCCTAGATTTCTAGGATAAGATTTTATTTGATTTTTGTCTGCTTTCTGATTGATTTTGGGGTCACTGTTTGGACAAGTTTGTCGACGGAAGCAACATAAGCGGTCGACGGGGGAAGGCTCTGCTTAAGCGACGACTAGTAAGTTGAAGAGTTGGCGCGTAAAGCTCACGAGCCTGAAGGAGCTGAGGAGTCGGCGGCGACTGCTGAGCTGAAGAGTGATGAAAACCCTAATCTATTTAGGGTTACCATCTTGGGCCAGTTCGGGTCAGACCTTAGTTGGGTCGGGTTAATTCGAACTTGGGTCTCTGGATGCTGGACTTGTGCCTGTAGTTGGGCTCTGGGTGAGATGGTTGTAATGGGTTGGGTTGAATTATATGTTGGGCTTCGGGTGGTGGGTTATATGGGTCTGATCTTGAATGTTGGGCCAACTTGTAATGAGCTTGAATTAGTGTAATGGGTTGGCCTACATAATGTAATTAAATAATATTAATAAAAATAATAATTAATAATAATAATAAAGTATTAATATATATATTAATACTTTTTATAAACCCGGACAAAAACGGGTGTCTACACCTTCCTCGCAAGTGATCCATTAATCTGCAAGGCGGAAACAAAACAATGTTAAACTCAAATAGCCAAATGTAGATTCGTGTAATATGAATTCACACATGCATCATGTAACACCCCAATTTAGGGGCTAAATTTAAGAAATTATAAATTGGTGGATTTAATTGATATTTTGAAAGAAACGGTGGATTAAATTGTAAGATTTCAAAGTTGGCAGACCGTTTTAAGAAGTACATAAAGTTCAGTGACTAAACTCATGGTTTACCCATTTTTCTTTACGCATGAATTATAACATCTTCCCCGATTGTTTTTATGCAGAATTTCCAGTTTTCCTTATCCAACAACCCTCCTTTCAACTCCGATCTACCCGCCGTCCGACCTCCGATCGATGAGCCGAAACCTCCATCGTGTTCGTTGTCAACCGAGGAACAAAACCCCTCAAACCTTTCATCGTGAATCGTCACCGTTCGTCGTTAATTTCAGTTGGAAGTACCGTCGGTAATAACTCGATTTTAGTTGGTTTTTCATCGATTCACGACGATCGGGTCATCCGTTTACGACACCTCCCGCACCATCGTGTTCCTTGTTCCGTTCCGAGTCTGCCGGTGTCATCCTTGGTCTCCGTCGACGGCGGCGCGTGAGGAGGTGAAGCGGTCAAAGTTTTCGATTCGTTGAAATCAAACTCTCCGCCGTTCAAAAATTTGAACCGAGCTTTGTAAGTATCTCGAAATCGCTTAAAATAATTTTTAGGAATTTTTCCAGGAATTTTCCGATATCAGGACACTGTTCACGCGCCCCCACGCGCCACCATTGCGCGTGGGAAAGGCAAAAGTGACCGATTTTTGAGCTGTTTTGACCAGTTTGACCGGTCACAACCCGACCCGACCCGTTGACCGTTGACCGGCGTTGACCACTGTTGACCAAAACTTTGACCGACTTTGACCGGGCATTAAACGACCTTTGTTTTTGACCGCGTATACCTATCCTGACATTTTTCGACGTTCCAAATCCGATTCCGCAATCCGTTTTTCGAAATTCATACCCGAAGGCCTTGAAATTACCGGTCAAACCCGTTGACTTTGATTTTGACCGAAAATTCCAAATTTCTGAAAAGTCATATTTTATGCTTTCGACGTCCTGAATCCGAATCTGAAGTCTGTTTCGCCAAATTCGAACCCGGTAAGCTGTATTTCACTGATTTATCACCCGATTCGATCCGTTTATCGCAATTAAGCTCCGTTTCTGATATAATTTATGTTGATATGTATCTGAGGAATTATTAGAAGTTGAATTGAAGTTCAAAGGCGTTCGAATGGAATTTTTATGGTCGATCAGTATTGCACGGAAATCGAGGTAATACTTTACTACCTCTTTATGCTTTATAGAACATATTGGTATTGGTAAATGCATGAATGGAAATGTTTGGTCTCATATGTGTAATTAATGAAGATCTACACTAGATACGAATACGGTAGAAAGTAGATAACTGAATATGGCTCAGATGACTATTATAAGAAATTGGAGGACAGTTGGAATTAAATTACAAGTTCTGGAATTAAGTGATAAAAGAATCAACCATGGATTGTAGATTATAATTTATCTCATTAAAGGTACTTAGATGATAAATTATGAGAATATTTCGATTAGGTAAAATTACGAAATTACCCTTATGTTGGAAAATGACAAGAATTGTATCTGGAAGTTGATTAATAAATCTGAAAAGAATTATTGATATGCTAAAACTATTGATGTGCATAAGAAATGTTAGTTTTACTTGGAAATTATGGATAACCGATTTTTAACCCTAAAAAGGTTTATGCTAGATACTAGAAGTCTTTTAAGGAATCATTTCAAGATCAAAGAATGTTCGAGGAAGCAATTAATCATAGGATCTCTATATTATATTATTTTCGTTAAGAGCTAATATCGAAATTATCTGATTAAGAAATTACGAAAATACCCTTGTGAGGTAAAATAGTCAGAGTTCACCCTGAAGGAGAAAGCACTTTGAGGATTTGTACTTAACTCGATTAAGTACAAATTTAATTATTAATATTCTGTCTTTGTAAAGAAAAATTCATAATATTGCATTTGTAAAATTCGAGAAGGCACTTGACCCGAAAATATCCGAGTTATGAGTAAATACCTGAAGAACAATTTATCGGAGGGTGCTCTTTTATCAGAATTGTTCGAACGGACTGGAATAGATGATAAATTGGAATTAAATAATAAGACCGGATGGAGGAAAAAGATTGAAATACCGTAGATCTGTAAAATGACCAAAATACCCCTGTAATGGAAATGGCCCAAGAATATCACCAAGCTCAGGAATGATGGATATCCTTGAGCTCTGTTATGATTGGAATAAAACTGAAAACCAAAATGACCAAAATACCCTTATGGTCTATATTAAGTAAATGTCTTGGATTAATTAAGGAATCCAAGTAAGCATAGGTATTGGACTACCTTTAAAGGTAATGGAAAATAATTTAAGTGAGTAGATTAACCCTAAAGCTATGTCAATACCTGAATGACATAGATATTCCTGGAACATGTGTTCGTCTTCTCAAGTTTGGCTCGATGATAAATTTTGGAAGTATTCAGCTCAGCTCTAGATCGTATTCAGTACTAAGAATTGGACGTTTGTTCGACAAATCAACCACGAATACCAAATTGAATGGAATGGAAGTACAACATGTATCTGAAATTCAGGAACGTTTGAATTACTCTGGAAAATCTTGAAGTAACTGGAATGGACATGACTGCTAAATGAATTAGATAACCTCAATGACTGAGGATTTAATAAGTGATTTGGATAAGTCTGGAAACTCTGATGAGTTTACGTAGTGTACAATTACAATGGGTTATGAACAAATTAATCAAGTACGTCAGCATTTCATGATATTGTGGAAGCGTGGAAATGAAATAAAGACATTTGAAGATTTATTCATCGATGATTTCGAAAATGGTCTACGGATAAGAATTTGTGGTATTAAAGAATAAATACCCTAGAAGGAAAATGAATTGACCAGTCGACATAGATTGTTAAGGTTCTGAATCTTCGTTCTCAAGTTGTTTGATTATCCGATCAATTGACATGGATGTAAATGATTCTGAATACCCTTCTGATTACGTACAACTTCTGAAAACTGTCCGAATAAGATAATATCCTGATAATTCACATTCTGAATAACTGATGATTCTGTCAGTTAATGAACTCTTCCAATAGTGATTCTAAATTCCAACATTCTATCGACATACTGAAGAACTGTGTTTCTCTGCCTGATACAGTACCTCTAAATAATACATGTAAACTCTGGTGTGTTCCCTAATTACATGAATATTTTATCTGATTTCAAATTTGAATTCTGTTATGATACCTGACCTGGATTCTGATATGATATTGACATGGATTCTGATCTGATAAATAATCTGGATTCTGATATGATACTTGACTTGAATTATGTTTTGATTTTTGATATATCCGTTTACGGACGAAACATGTTTTATTGGGGGGTATTGTTGGAGGAAGATTACTTGGAGGCTCCTCGGTTGTGTGCTCAGGGCTTTACTTACTAGTTCCTCGGCTGTGTGCTCAGGGCCTTACTGGACGTGACGGGGTTGTATGATTCTGGGGAACCTACACATTTTGTTCGTGACGGATGGGGGTATATATATATATATATATATATATATATTTTAAAAAGATCTGAAAAGTTACATGGTTTTTGAGAACACACTAGAAAACCTATTCTGATCTCCTGAACTCAGTCATCCGAAATATTTCTCTGAAATGAAAGCTCATTGTCCACTACCACCTGAAATATCAGTAGGATCTCTGCTCAGCATAAAAATCTGTAAATGTTCAGAAACAATAAGGAAATATATATTTATCTGTATCTGCACATTCATCAGCATCATCTGGTAGTTCTGTATTATTGAGCTTTCCAAAACTCACTCTATTACTCACCTTTTCAGGTTAAAAGAATTATACCAGTACATCTATCGACTTCAGTAAGGGAGTTCGTCCGGCGTTGTTGCAGAGTATGATACATGTGATTAGGGGAAATGTAATTGTATTTTGATTTATATACGAGTTTGGAAATCTGTTTTATTTTTAAATAGTGAAAACTGATTTTATAAGTTTACATGTTCTGATAAAAAGTTTTAAATTTTCCGCTATTTTTACAGTGGGTCGCTCCGGTGGTCCTAATGTGACTTCCCGGATCGGATCGGATCGGGCTACCCGTATCGGTCTGGGGGTTACACATCAAGGAGCACACATATATAAAAAGAATTATAACCCAAGCAACCAATCAACATCCAACTCTACAGTACAATGGCACAAGCGTAATTAAAGAAACAGTCAATTAGAAAGAACAAATGCTTTACAGTCGTATTAATCGAACAACAAGAGTTCACCCCAAAGGTATTTTAGATTGATACTTCAATTGCCTTTTGCTTCCATTAAGGCACAGTTTAACTTTTATAAGCTACACTACAAGCTATTAGCTATAATAAAAAACTGACCTGGATAAATACCTGAGCATTCCTTTATCCAAATCCAAGTGAGGTGCAAACAAAACAATATTTGACTTACATGGCCAAATGCAGGTTCACGTAATACAATTCATGCGTGCATTTAGAAGCATCCATACATAAGAAAAGAACAGAGTAATAAACGATGCCTAACTTCGTAGCACAATGAATGAAGTGTATACCGGAAACCTTAATTAGAGAAACAGATGATTAGAAAGAATGAATTATCGAGTCATATTAATTCAGACAACAAAAGTCAATCCCAAAGGTATAATTAAAAACCTGGATAAATCCCTGAAAATAAAAAACATCAATCAAGCTCATCTATCATCAATAATTAACACCCAAATATCCCCGATTCAACACTATAAGCCCTGGCATAATCAGCAATGAATCATATAACCACATCCAGATGAAAAATTCAATAGTATCAGAATTGAATGATGCAAGAGTAATGGAAAACATGATACAACAGAAGGATTTGCGTATATAAATGATAAACATAAGAGGCTGGTAAAAGTACCCTCAAACGATCAGAGAGAATGGAGGGAGTGATGAGCTTGTATTTAGGAGCTTCGGCGAGAAGCTTGTCATAAGGAGCTTGGTCGAACAGCACCATGTTGTTCACCTTCTCCTTCTGCTTTCCCTTGCCCCACTTCTGTTAATACCCCAAAAAGGGAAACCCACATCATGTCTAACTCTAAAAGTGCATAAAATCAAAACACATTTGTTTGATGGTAGCGAAAAGAAATTGACCTTCTTCTGCTTGCCACCTCCAGACTTTGCAGGCTTGGATGATGGAGGAGGGGCTTTGTCTTTCTTTGGGGCCTGCAAAAACAAAAACGAGATAGTATCAAATCTCAAACAAATTTGGATTTTATTTTATGGGGAAAAAGGACTGCAAACGGGGATTGCATTGAAAAACGAAGAGCGACAGATAAACAAACCATTGAAGGATATGATGAGGCGGTTTTGGTTATGGGTGGCCGTGGGAGTGAGAACGCATCGAGGAAGGTGAAAGGGAGGGGGATTCAGAATACTTGTGGAGTTGCGTAAAACATCTTCGCCCACATAATACCCCCAATAATGTTGGGTTGGGTTGGGTTTGGGCCTGTAAAATTACGAAAAAGTCTAATTAAAACAATATTAACATTGAGTGAGGATCATGAAGGAATGCATCAAATAGCTTAGCCATGGACAGAATATGGTGGTTCTGCGGTGCGGCGCCTAAAAAACAGCTAATATACGGCGTGATCGGTTAAATAAGTGACCGGTTAAAATTTAGACCGGTTATGTTATATTATTTAACCGGAAATATTATAAAGTACAATAACATACTAGGTAGCGCTTATATAATGTAATAGGTAGCGCTTATATTTACCTATTTTATAAGTAAACCGGTATATTTATACCGATAGCATTGCAAATTTACCTATTACATTATATTATATTGAAAGTGTCCATACTTTTTATAAAAAGGATCGATACTTTAACAGTGTTTCATGTTTTCCACCTACAATATTAATTTAATAATTTCATTTGCACAAAAAATTATTTGATTGTTTTGATATTTTATAAAATAATATTTAGAATTTTTAATTTAATAATAATATATATCGTAACGTAAAAAATAAATCATTAGACGCCTATAATTACTAAATTAATATCTTAAAACTCACTCAAAAGATAACCTTAAATTAATGTTTTCCACAGTGAAAAAAGTATGGACACTTTTATAAAAAGGATAGACACTTTACAATATAACCACTACCTATTACATTATATAAACGATACCTATTACATTATATAAGGGCTACCTATTACATCATATGTTTACCTATTATATTGAAAGTGTCCATACTTTTTATAAAAAGGATCGATACTTTTTTTAAAACTTATGTAATTTATGTTTCAATTTTTTTAACAGTGTTTCATGTTTTCCACCTACATATTAATTTAATAATTTAATTTGCACAAAAATTATTTGATTGTTTTTATATTTTATAAAATAATATTTAGAATTTTTAATTTAATAATAATATATATCGTAACGTAAGAAATAAATCATTAGACGCCTATAATTACTAAATTAATATCTTAAAACTCACTCAAAGGATAACCTTAAGAACACTTGAAGAAGCAAGAGAACAACTATCCAAGCAATCAAAAACGAGAAAATCCCAACATGATAACAACTGAACATATCATATCAATGTTCAAACTCAAGTTGTAGATTTTGATTTCCTTTTGCTTGGCATCATATGAGATTTGGATTTTGATTTCCTTTTGCTTGGCATCATATGAGATTTGGATTTTGATTTCCTTTTGCTTGGCACCATATGAGCTTTGGATTTTGATGAGCATCGGAAGTATTTCAGACTTATGATTTGGGTGGTACTCAACTTATGATTTTAGTTGCTATTTGTTACATTTCTTGTATACCACCCAGATCATACGCCCGAAATGTTTCTGACGCTTTAAAGTTGACCAAAAAATAAAATGGTCGGGATTTCCCTCGCGTTTATACGTTGGAAAAAAAACAATGGAAATTAGGAATAATCAATGATAACATGCATATTGGCTTGGGCTAATATTTATAGTGGAGCCGAAATATATTGAAATTCAAACTCAAATTGAAATTTAAATTCAAACTCCAATTACATATGAAATGAATTTGAAATGCAGTGTTAAATTGAACATGAAAATTGCATAATTGATTCATACTGTTCAAGTAACATGCTTTATGAACCATCAAGCTAAAAGACAATATTGATTGAGTTCAAAGCTGAGTTGTGAGTTGATGGAGTTGTCACACTTGTCACATGGTTGGAATAAAGTACTCACATGCGAGATAGATTGTTTTGTTATACATAACCCATCTCAACGAAATTAATCCAAATAATGTACCCATAACAATGTTCAATTAATGTACCCACAACAATGTTTAATTGATTTGTTGTTTAATTTTCAATTTGAATTATTTGATTTAATAATTTCATTTGCACAAAAAATTATTTGATTGTTTTGATATTTTTAAAATAATATTTAGAATTTTTAATTTAATAATAATATATATCGTAACGTAAAAAATAAATCATTATACACCTATAATTACTAAATTAATATCTTAAAACTCACTCAAAAGATAACCTTAAATTAATGTTTTCCACAGTGAAAAAAGTATGGACACTTTTATAAAAAGGATAGACACTTTACAATATAACCACTACCTATTACATTATATAAACGATACCTATTACATTATATAAGGGGTACCTATTACATCATATGTTTACCTATTATATTGAAAGTGTTCATACTTTTTATAAAAAGGATCGATACTTTTTTTAAAACTTATGTAATTTATGTTTCAATTCTTTTAACAGTGTTTCATGTTTTCCACCTACAATATTGATTTAATAATTTCATTTGCACAAAAAATTATTTGATTGTTTTTATATTTTATAAAATATTATTTAGAATTTTTAATTTAATAATAATATATACCGTAACGTAAAAAATAAATCATTAGACGCCTATAATTACTAAATTAATATCTTAAAACTCACTCAAAAGATAACCTTAAATTAATGTTTTCCACAGTGAAAAAAATATCGACACTTTTATAAAAAGGATAGACACTTTACAATATAACCACTACCTATTACATTATATAAACGATACCTATTACATTATATAAGGGGTACCTATTACATCATATGTTTACCTATTATATTGAAAGTGTCCATACTTTTTATAAAAAGGATCGATACTTTTTTTAAAACTTATGTAATTTATGTTTCAATTTTTTTAACAGTGTACTGCGAATTTAAAATGATAATATACTTGTAGTTATTGTACATACCTAAATATGTACTGCGAATTTAATGTTGTACCCACCCTTTAACTACCACTACCAATGCCACATCCTATTGAAAGCAGCACGACAGAAACATGTTCAAAATGAACCTTCGTTTACATATCCATCAACTCCTGGAGCACTGAACTTGCACAACAAAATTGAAGCCATGGATAATACTGATGTAGACAATGTTAAGCCAACCGAGGAATGCCATGAAGTACATAATGTTGATGAATCTGACAGATTGGTTGGTCAGCTCTTCTGTTCACGTGATCAAGCTTGGCACTTTTACAAGGGATTCGCACGGGAACATGGGTTTAGTGCACGTAAGGGAACAACACGGCTTGACGTGGAAGGGAATGTGAAGACACAAGAATTTTGTTGTTCTAAAGAAGGGTTTCGAGTATCAAAAGTCAATACTGTTGATCGTCAACGTGCTCATACGCCAGTCACAAGAACAGGATGTAAGGCTAGAGTCGTAGTTACAGCAACAAATACAAACGATCAGTGGGTTATAAGTAAGTCTGATCAGAAACATAATCATGCATTGTGCACATCTGCTATGACACCATTTATGCGTTCTAATCGAGCTGTAAGTAAGGCTGATATCGATGAGGCAACAACATTGAAAGAGGTCGGTGTTGGCACGTCACAAGTAATGAACTATTTAACGCAGCATGCAGGGGGCTATCATAATGTTGGATTTACACATAAAGACCTCTACAATGCACTTCAAAGAGGTAAAGCAAAGGAAATCGTCGATGGGGATGTGAATGCGCTTATTGCCTACTTTTTATTATAATATGTTGAAAGTGTCCATACTTTTTATAAAAAGGATCGATACTTTTTTTTAAAGATATGTAATTTATGTTTCAATATTTTTTAAGTATGTTTCATGTTTTCCACCTACAATATTAATTTAATAATTTCATTTGCACAAAAAATTAGTTGAGTGTTTTTATATTTTATAAAATAATATTAAGAATTTTTAATTTAATAATAATATATACCGTAACGTAAAAAATTAATCATTAGACGCCTATAATTACTAAATTAATATCTTAAAACTCACTCAAAAGATAACCTTAAATCTGGGTTCCGATGTGTAAATGTCGACACTTTTTTAAATGGTATCGACACATTTTTCTTCCAATCTGAACATAAAGTACCGACACAATATTAGAAAGTGTCGATAAAGGTTGTAGACCTATTCGCTCATAAAACCGGTATTTTTATACCGGTTATATTACAAAATTATCTATTACATTATAAATCTGGGTTCCGATGTGTAAATGTCGACACTTTTTAAATGGTATCGACACATTTTTCTTCTAATCTGAACATAAAGTACCGACACAATATTAGAAAGTGTCGATAAGGTTGTAGACCTATTCGCTCATAAAACCGGTATTTTTATACCGGTTATATTACAAAATTATCTATTACATTATAAATATGGGTTCCGATGTGTAAATGTCGACACTTTTTTAAATGGTATCGACACATTTTTCTTCCAATCTGGACATAAAGTACCGACACAATATTAGAAAGTGTCGATATAGGTTGTAGACCTATTCGCTCATAAAACCGGTATATTATACCGGTTATATTACAAAATTATCTATTACATTATAAATCTGGGTTCCGATGTTTTTTCAATCGACACTTTTTTAAATGGTATCGACACATTTTTCTTTCATTCTGGACATAAAGTACAGACACAATATTAAAAAGTGTGAAAACTTTGTTGTGGATATCGAAAACAATGCTATAGTCATGTGTTCGATACATTTGCAAGTAGATGTAAAATATATTAGTATTGATATTTCAACAATCCTCAAATGTATATGTACACATAGAAGCGAATATGGAATAATTAATGAAATATACACACAGTATAATCACACCAAATTATAAATACACAAGAATGTTCAAATAATGTACCGACAAACAAAATTAATCCGATGAAAAAGGGTTGTTTCTAACGAAGTCCGGAACATTAGAGGCCTTCAACAAATTTTCCAAATACTCTCGTATGTTTCCGCCTTTTTCTGAGGACATACATAAATAATTTCAATTATCAAACTAATGAGGTGCAATTTTACTAACAATAAATTAAATTCGCATAAGCATGAATAAATTTGTGTCATACCTAGAGCTTTGTCGTTCGAATGGGAAGCAGCGTCAAAGGTAT